TAGGGACGTGATGGCGCTGTGGGTTAAACCACAGAAGCCTCTGTGCTGCAAGGTCAAAAGACCAGCAGTTGTAAGATCGAATCCATGCAACAGAGTGAGCTCCCGTTGCTTGTCCCAGCTCCTGCCAACCTAACAGTTCGAAAGCATGTACAGTGGTGCCTCGCTTAACAATGTTAATTGGTTAAAAGAAATCGCTGCTAAGTGATTTCATCGCTAAGCGAAACGTGGTTTCCCATTGAAATGCATTGAAAACTGGATAATCCGTTCCAATAGGAACAAATTGCCGTCCTTAACCAAAAATCGCCATAGGAAACATCACTAAGCGAAACGCAGTTCCCCAATTGAAATACAGTGAAACCTATTCAATGCATCTCAATGGGAGAAAAAAAATACAACAACAAATTAAAAAAGAGTCAGAACAAAGTCAAATTTGGTTAACAAAGGGTTTATTAAGTGCACTTTATGATTTCAAACATTTTAAACAGTAAAGTTTAACTTTATAAATAACAGAAAAACATTTAAAAAACAGCAAACATGAGGCTGTTTAAACCATCACTAAGCGAAACATGGGACCCAAAATTTAATCGCTATGCGAAGCATGGTCCCAACCATTGCTAAGCAAAAATCGCCTATAGGGACTATCGTTAAACGAAGCAATCGCTAAGCGAGACACCACTGTAAATGCGAGTAGGTAAATAGGTACCACCTCGGTGGGAAGGTAACAGCGTTCCGTGTCTAGTCGCGTGGGCCACGTGACCATGGAAACTGTCTTCAGACAAACGCTGGCTCTGCGGCTTGGAGACGGGGATGAGCACCACGCCCTAGAGTCAGACACAGATGGACTAAATGTCAAGGGGAACCTTTACCTTTACCTAGCATGATCTAAGCATTTTGAAAGTAGCACTTGAAAGTACGGATGTGTTTTTGGAAGTATTTATAGTTCCAAATCTATCAGAATATGAATTTGATAGTTCTGAGTACAGTATCTATAATAATAATCCCTAATATTCAAAGTCCCATTTATTCCTATAAATTAGAAAGCAAAAAGGCTACATTTCTGCTTGCTAGAGAAAGAGGTGAAAGTGAAACCTTTTTCTCAGGCATCCTGGAGTGATTTCTTCAGAAATCTAACTAAAAGATACTCTGGCACCAAGAGTAGTGGGGAAAAATACATACAGTGGTGCCTCGCACAGCGAGGTTAATCCGTCCCGGATTAACTCTCGATGTGTGAAATATCGCTGAGGGGGGCAGAAAAGCCCATTGGAACGCATTAAACAGTGTTTAATGCATTCCAATCGGCTGCTGTACTCACCGTTCAGCGATGTTTCTCCGATGGCTGGCAGCCATTTTCGCGCCCTCCCCTCGTACTTTGGCCACCGAATGAGAAGAAAAGACTCCCTGGAAAAGACCCTGATGTTGGGAAAGTGTGATGGCAAGAGGAGAAGGGGACGACTGAGGATGAGATGGCTGGACAGTGTCTGCGAAGCAACCAACATGAATTTGACACAACTCCGGGAGGCAGTAGAAGATAGGAGGGCCTGGCGTGCTCTGGTCCATGGGGTCACGAAGAGTCGGACACGACTAAATGATGAGGCATATTTAAGTGTCAGAAGTTGTTTGTGGAAGATAAAGTGGAGCTTTTATCAAGCTGCATTTTTGAAGCTTTGGAATACACAGGCTTGTGTCCAGTAAGGATCATCTTGCTGGTGGAAGGAGAAATTAGGCTGCTTCCCTACCCCAATTTTCTTTCTCCTGTGCTGTCCTCATTCTCCATTGCCACCACACCAAGCTCGGTTACCCAACTCACATTTAACAGCAGATCTGAAGTGGTCTGCAAGAGGGAGGGGCATCACTGAAAAATGGCTCCTTCTCTCTTCTGAAAGGGACATTGTCTTCTATCAGTGGAATGACGTCCACCGGATAAAAACCTCAGCACCCTTTTTCAGCCACAGCTGTTAGTTTGCAAAATCTGAGCAGAACTTAGTGGAATAGACAATACTGCTAGGAAGGAGGGGGCAACAGGAAGAGTGAACAGTTTGAGATGCTGTTGGTTTGCAAGATCTGAGCAGAACTCTTAATGATGGGGCATATTTGAAGTCAGTAACTCATATAGAGCAAGAAAGGTCTCCCTAACCTTCACCTCACTGTTCTCCCCTACCTGCACTGCAGCGATCCTTGGCTGCTGTTGCTGTTCTCCCTGGCCACAAAGCAAAAACCAGTATTTTCATAGCTTAAATGTGTGAGCTGTTGAAAATTCTTTTGGAGTTTTAAAAAATATTTTTAAATATTTTCACAGGAAGGAATTAAAATTGTTTGGAAAGGAAGGAGTTAACTGGTTTTCTCACAGTCACTGAATGCTGTTCTGAGTGGCAGAGTCATAAATGTAGTCAAATTAGAATGTTAGCAAGCTATCAGAGAAAGCCAGTAAAGTCATAGCTAAACTTGCTCTAATATTGCTACTTTGAATCTATCAATTATAGCCATGAATGGTTCAATTGTTTCAAAAAAAGTTTTTTAAAGGCTGCAACAGATGTTTTTCACCCAGGTATGCAAATTTTGTCTTATCAGTGTGTTTGATCTATTTTAAATTGCTGAAGTTCCAGGTTGCTTGGTTCTGCCTGGGATAAAAACAAAACAAAAAGAAACGTAAACCTCAAGCCCTTTACCCAAATGTCCACAAATTTGGCACAGAACAAGAGCAGACCTTCTGCTACATGCATGCCAAGTTTGGTGCTGATCTGAGGTACTGTTTCATAGGTATAGGTTCTTCGACGTGGTCTCTATGAATCCACACCAGTGGGTTAAACAGCGCCTGCGCTGGTCCTCTCGGAATCTTCCAGAGCTATAGGGGAAAAAGTAACAAAGTTTAGGTTGCCCTGTACAGCGCATGCTCCGCCCGCCAAAGTCCCAGTTCCATTTTTCTGCCTGCAGAATTGGAACCTCTCGTTCAGAGCTCTTCGAAATTGTTCAACTTCCTTCTTTTTTCGGACTTGGACTTGGTTCTTTCGTCTGTCTGACCTCTGTTGCCCTGATCGCGGACCGTCTGACTATTCTCTTGCCTCTGGCGATTCTGCAAGTACCTCAATTGCCCTTAATTGCTCTTTACTGCAGCCTGTTTACCTCCTGCTGAGGTGCCATGTGCCTCCCGGGCTGCTTCAGGTACAGCCTATTTACCTTATTTTCCCACGCTATTTGGCCTATGTCACCAAAAAGAGGGCCATTTAGCCGCTGCTCTTCATGTTCAAGGAAACTGCCCTTCTCAGAAGGTCATTCTCTTTGTGTGTGGGGTTTTTTTTGGTTTTTTTTTGGGGGGGGGTTTTGGTCTGGGAGAGACTCATTCAACCAGCCATTGTAAACATTGCAAAGAGTTTATGAAGGCCACTTTGAAGGCTCGCCAGCAGCGTTTAAAGTACTTTCTGTGGAGCCAAACTTTGTCGGCTTCACAGCCTTCAGACATGGAGTCTGCTCAATCTACATCCTCAGTCTGCTCTGAGGTTAGACTTGTTTCTTCACCTCCTCCTCAGACTGCTAAGGAGAAGCCTAAGAAAAAGGCTTTGTCTAAGAAACCTCAACCAGCTTCTTCTGCTCCTTCGACTTCGTTGGAACCGAAACAGAAAAAAGCACCAGTGAAGCCCAAGGCTAAGGCAAAGGAGCTAACTTTGGTTGTTCCTCCCATTTCTGCCTCTTTGCCTTCTTCTATATTAGAAGACTCCTCTCGAGACTGAGACTCAACGTCGGAATTGGGCACCTCTCTTCCACCTCAACAAGAACCTCCTGTTGACACCGAGAGGTCGCCTACTGCTAGCCAGCTCGCTCAAGTTATTGCTGGTTTAGCAAATGCCCCGTCAAGCCCAGTTTTGACAGGGCGGGCATCTCAATCCCCTTCTTCAGCATCGGGGTCGCTCCCTTCGAAGTCTCCTCCTCCACCTCGAGGGAGACCTGAGAAGCCTACTGAGGTTCCTTCTCCTCGATGTCCACCATTGGATCGAGACGATGATGAACCTCCATCCAAAAAGCGTCGACATCGACACAAGCATGGGCACGGATATGACTCCAATGCCAATAAGCATAAGAGACATCGACGTCGAAGGGACACTTCGGTCTCTGACTCCAACTGCGGTGTGCAGTGCAGGAGATCGCACCATCGACGCCGTAGGAGGGATTACTCCACGGAGTCTTCCTCCACGTCAAGGGATCGCAGGAGACGAAAAAGGTTCGTTATGCCTACTCCTCCTCTCTCCCCACCACGCCGTGGTCGACATCGAGGACTGCTTGACGTCGACCATAAACCTTCCCACATCAGCGGCTACAGACAAACCTGCACCAGCTAATACTGCTTCTTCTCAAGGCACTAGACCAATCCTGCCTCCTCCAAAGCAAACGGGTGTTGTACCTGATAGAGGACAACGACCTAATATCCTTTCTCACTCTGATGAGGAACAGCCAACCCTTGAATGCTCTTCTGAACCTGAAGAAGAGGAAACGTCTGAAGCATCTTTGGACACCCCGTTGCCAGAGAAGCCTCTGGGCTCTGATGCTGGGGATTTACACCCCTCCTCTCCATCTGAAGATTTCTCTTCTTATACTCAGATGGTGTCACGCATGGCCAAAATTTTGAAATTTGAAACCGAACAGTCACCTCCACGGGAGGATGATCTGATCTTTGGGGATATCAACTCAGAGAGATCGCACCCAGTCAGTCTTTCCTATATACCTGAACTGTTGGACTTAATCAAAGAATACTGGGAACATCCAGCTAATTCGATGTCTATGTCAAGGAGGACGGAGAATATGTACCGCATACATAGGTCTCACACCTCCTTCCTCTTGAAACATCCTGCACCAAACTCTTTAGTAGTTGAGTCTAGTGCTTCCAAGACTCCAGCTAAAGGCCACGCCACTCCTTCTAATAAGGAAGGACGAAAACTGGAAGTATTGGCTTGTCGAATGTATTCTGTGACCACATTCGTCTTAAGAGCGGTCAACTACCTGGTGGCAATGGGAGCTTATCAGAAACAACTTTGGACCAGAATCCTACCTGCATTACAGGTGGCTCCGGATGACATCAAACAACTCTGTCTTAACACACACGCTGAGGCTTTAACTGTATCCAAGCATTTATGCTTGGCATCCCGTCATATAGCAGATGCTACTGCTAAAAATCTAGCTTCTCTTATAACTCTCAGAAGGCATGCATGGTTATGTTCTGCCAGCATTATGGAAGGGATCAAGATGAGGGTAGAGAACCTACCTTTCGATGCCTCTGGACTGTTCAACCAGAAAACTGACGAAAATCTTGAAAACCTGCATAAGAGTAAAAAGACAGCAAAGTCTTACTCTATCCAACAACCTAGAACAAGTAAATTTCAGTTGCACTCTAAGTATTCACATCAACCTTACCAGCAACCATCTACCAACACTTACCACTCTTTTGGCATTCAGGCTCATCAACGTTCTTCCCTACCTCCTTCATCTGCTACTACCTTCAAACCTCAATCCAATTGTGAGGGTTCGTTTGGATGAGCTGTCTTTTCTTCAATAAACGGACGAGGCATAGAAGGAACGTCAAAAGGTGTTGTATTTATTTCAACATTAACATCTTCTGGTACACCACCCATGAAGGGGTTCAGGGACGTTTGGAGACCATGGTTAGGCTTTAAGGGTGTCCATAAACTATGTACAAAGGGGTTAGTAGTCTCTGGATTCCAAGGACCTGTTAAGGGCGGCACAGGTCCTAGTCCAGGGTTCAACAGAAGCGAGCCATCCAGAAGGTGCCAAGTCGGGACATCCTAAACGGGTTTTACTCTCGGTACTTCACGGTACCCAAGAAGGATGGCGGTCTGAGACCAGTTCTTGACCTGAGGGACTTGAACACCCACCTCAAACCACGCCGGTTCAGAATGGTCACATTGGACTCAATCATTCACCTATTGAAGAAAGGAGACTGGTTCGTGGTTGTGGATTTAAAAGATGCATACAGTGGTGCCTCGCATACAGTGGTGCCATCGCTAAACGGAATTAAAAAAGCCATAGAAACGCATTGAACTTTGTTCAATGCGT